TCCCTAACCTTTGCTCTTACTATTATAGCAGGCACCATTAGCCAGTGTTGAAGGTAGGATATTAGCTATATTCATCTTTGGTCTCCCATGAAACAACCATTTTAATATTCATAAATGGGCTACATCCTGGATGCACCAGATGTAGATTTAATGACATAAGCAAGTGCTGTTAAAAATCCACACCTCTGGAACAGAAAAAACTATCTTAAGAAAAGTGTGTTCTTTAAAGTAGTAGAACAGACACTGTTACTACAAAACTGTGGTTGGATAATGGATGACAATCTTGCCAAAGGCTGTTAGAAACATCCACACAAATCACCTTGCACATTTGCTGAGGTCTGACAACACTGTATCAGCCTGAACTGATTCCGTTTCTCAGTCTCTGCTACACATTCCGTTTGGTTTCCCCTGTATTGGCAAATTCCATTTCAAATTAAAGTAACATTACCGTACTATTTACCTGACTGGCAATATTTAACTGCAATCATTAGAGGAAGCCAAACCTGTATTATCCTTTTCCTGTCAAGCCAGCCATTTTTTTTTTTTTGTCAAGTAACTGTCTTTTCAGGTTACAACATCGATGTACTCTTATTTGCACACTCTAAATACAATATGCATTGTGATCCCTTATAGTTATTAATAATTAAGAGAAGACTAAAAATCAACTAATACAGCATCTCTGCTATTCATCTGGAGTTAACTTTCAGCTTTCAGTTCTGGTTTGTTACTTCATCTGCAATTTGACCTTGCTAAGATTTCAGTGACCTCAGAATGATCCATCATTTACAGGAAAAAGATAACAAAGCATCCCCAAATAATGAGTTCATCATGAGCTTACTACCTCAAAGACAAGACTAGAAACACAGCATTTTATAAATTGAATTGTTGGCTCAAGATCTCTGTTCCACGCAACTTCCCTTAGTAGTTTAATATTTCCAGCAAATGCTACCTTTTTATTTCCGTTGTCTAAAATTACAAGAGCAAAGGACAAGTTCATGTTCCACTTGTACATGAATGCTGGAGAGTTATCCAGACAACGCCTACAGTTTTATATTTCTATTGCATGTATTCATGTGAAAAATCAAAATTAAAGTATATTCATAAAACAGTCTTGAATTCTCCTTCTAAGATCTTCTGAGATAAGATCTTGGATCCAAAGGAATAATATCCTTGCATGATATTATTTTTCTTTGAATGTATTATTTTTCTTTGAATGTTCTTTATAAATAATGCTAAATTATTACTAGTAATGCACTAATAATTCAGATTAAGAGAAAAACAACTATCACAATAACTTTTTCTAAGCTACATTTATACTGAGAGAATAACAACAGTAGCAGGACTGAGTTGCCACAACTGAGAAAAAGCAATCTTCCAAATAGCAGTTTTAGGAGCCCAGGAGACAAAATTCACCCCCTTCACTGAAACATATACTAGTTAAAATTACACTCCATATAATCGTGATTTTCAGACTGGGTTAAACTATGAGCTGCTTTTAGCAAAAGGCTGAGATTTAAGTTGATACAAAAACTGCACAGCATGCCAACAGAATTTACTTTGGCAACCTCTCTAAGGGAACTGGCAGAACAAGACTAAATGCTTCCAAAACTTTCTCCTCAGCATACGGTTCCATTCATGAATAGAGGGAGACATACAAAAAACCCCATTCATCTCAATTGGTTTAGAGCTGATTGGAGATCTAAAAGTACAGGACTTTTGAGTTAAACATTTTAGCCACTCAGACTCAAGTGCCAATGGAAAAGGTGCATTATGGAACAAAATATATTTACACAGAATCATTTATTAACTGTCCTGTTTGTAAGTCAGAAACGCCTTATCATTTACACCCAAAAATGAAACTGCTTGGTAAAGAAATCAAGTACTCAAAAAGCTTTTTTCAGAAGAGCTTTAGTAGTCAGTTTCCGTAGGTGGGAGTGGGAGCTTCGCCATGAATGTGAATTAGGTATTAGAGAAACACTGTATTAGGGCAAAGATCTTGTAACTTCTTATTACTCTTACCAAACTTATCAAACTGCTAGAATTGCTAGAGATACAGCTAAGATATCAATGGTACACTCTTCTGGCACTGAATGCTGGAGCAGGGGAGAAGAGGAAGAAGAGTCAAACACTATTTAGACTACCTCACCATTACCTCCATTCTCATATTGAATGAGAGACGGGAAGTTCACCATTTCCACACTTACTTACCTGTTCTTCTTACAGTATCTTTTTGGCCTAAGTTTTCCTGATTTAACTTAGAACATCTTAAGTTGCACTAAAAAGAATGACAAAACCTGTTATGATTACTTACCATCATCATTCCTTGTATACACTTTACTTGCTGTCGGTGGTTAGAGCTGCATTTTTAATGTTTATAGATCACCTAGCACAGAGGTGTACCAATGAACCACCAGAGTACCAGAGAGATCTACACTATGGAACTAAAACATACATACATTTTCCCTGCTCCTATTCTCAGAAAAGCTTCAGGCACACTACCTGCTTCATGGGCAGTGTAAGCCCTCCCTATTTGGAGGTTTCTGAAATGCTGCTTGCAGCAACAGTAAAACCATCTAATATTACAGCTTTCTGATTCATATGAGAGGGTCTTTGATTGCACTTACTGGTATCTGAACTTTGCCATAAAATACCGAGACTAATGTAATTTGTTACTTACCTTTTAGCTAATACCCTCCCAATCACAAATAGTGACTATTTTAAAAATCATCAAATCAAGCTGACAGCATTCTGTAGTATGCTCTAAGTATTTTTAAGATGGCCTGTACACTTCAGAATGCATTAGGTAACAGCAAAAGCGTACTTGCATATCTCAAGGAGAAAGACAACTCCATTTTACCACTGCTGAAACAAGTCTTTTCACTCAGCATTGCTTCCTGTAATCCTGCAAGGGCATCACTTTCATGTCTAGAAACTGAAATAACATTTGAGATGCCATGTTGCTTTTTCTTTTCTTTTCTTCTTCCAGTCATTCTACCTGTAGGAACAGTAAACAGAAACACACACAAAATTGTGCTAACCTCCTACTCATATGTGCCTTATTTTACTTCATGGGCTTTATACATTTGAACTTCACAAAAGAGCATTTACCTCTTTTGCTATAACTCATTGTTGATGTCAAGTTGCAGATTACTTCTACCAATATTTACAATAAAATGAGATTATGTGCCTACACAAAGAATTTAACTCTTCTACTACTTCATATGTATACACCATACATTTGTGCTGAAGCCTCCATTTTTATGGCATTCAACACAGTCCAATGAAAAAGACCAAAACCAATTTCAAGCAAGCTTCCCCTTTTAAATCAGTTGCATGACTCTCTTCTCTTTCAGTACTTCTCAACTTCAACATCATAAACACAGTCTGTGTTGTTACTACTCTTCCCCTTACAGGTAAGGTGGAAAGAAGAGAGACATACTCTACCACATTTACACAAATTTAGCAACCACAGCTCTACTATTACCTTTGGCATACAACCTTTTAATTCTAAATAGAACACCTTTGTTGGGGTTTTTTTGTGACATGTCTATACAGATAATCATTCAAACACCATTTGGGGGGAACCTCCTTTACAAGATGACATTTATAGCAAAATGGGTAAAATACCATCAGTCTCCAGTATATAAAAACTGCAGAAGATGCATTAAGATGCATTAAAATGCAAGGCTGCGGTTTCATCATCTATTTCAGCAGGGACAATGCAGTTGGTGTAGCTCTACCTGTTACTAATGGTTGTGCTATAACAGTACACCACGAGTAAGCCAGAAGGGTGAAAATGGGGGCAAATTTAGGGTTTTGCCTTTATTTATTTAGTTTTTCTTCAGTCTCTGAGAAGAGTGGATACCTGATATCCAAGTCTGTGAACAGGTATGTTTTGTAAAGAAAGGCACTACCAGCAACACAGTTCAATCTTTTCAGGGTTTTTTTTCTGAATAGTATCGAAGGCAAAATCTATATAAATCCCACTAAATAACTATAGCTGTAAGAGTGATGTACATTTACAAAAGGCTAAATCTCTCTTCTCTTTGCTAGCAGAGTTGCCTATCTTTTCCTTAATCACAGTCACAGCAAGACCGTGAGATGATGGATCCCAAATACCTGCAATTCCCTGCAATGTATTTATTAGCCCACTGACAATGTGTTTTAGAAACCTGGTTTTATTTTGATCACAGAGGCAATTTCTGAAGCGTCAAGCATTACTCCTAAGTTGAAGAAAAGGTCACTACAGTGCCTTTGAAGCACCGCTATGCAGTAGTGACAGAAAAGCAAAGATTGAGTTTCATGCCTGCAAGTTTTACTTAAACAAATGGCCCCAGTTTGCCTACTCACTTAGGTGCCTGTGTTAGTTTTCCCATAATTGTGAGGTCTGCAGTTAAATGAAATGGCAGATTCATCACTGATACAATCTTTGTCCAAGGTTTACAGTCCTTTAATTTGTGTGCTTTCAGGGCTTGAGGGCATTTTCCAGTAGCTTTTCTTTATCCTGAAGGGATTTGGGTATCCTTAACAGGGGACTAAATTAATCCCTACATCAAATGATACCAGAAACGTGGCCTTCACTTGTTGTCAATTTAGAATTAAAAATGAAATTGCTTTCTCAGAAAGCAAAAGGAATGTAGAACACAGGTAGAAATTACACACACAAAAAAATTACAGTCGATACTTCGGTGTCTACAACATTAGAGAATTCACAAAAGAGTAAATCTTCACGTCTGTTAATCGTAAAATCTTACATTCACCCTACTTATGGTGTTTGAGTACATAAATTAAAATTAATAGAAGGGCAAAAGCATGGCAGGAGGGGAAACAATAGCAACTGGGGGCAAAGTGAAAAACAAAAGTTCACAACAATGTAACTATCAAACATTGTACCAGTCTACTGTCATTAGGCTTCCGTACACTCACTCACTCTTGCGAAATGCCCTCAAACAACAATATACCTGAATCTACTATTTCAGAGTGAAATGTTGAAAAGCATTTTTTCCTTTACTAAGAAGATATTCTCCTCCTACCCATAATACCTAGCAGGTCTGGGTTTTTTCTTCAAGCACAGGTGGAAAAATATAGCAAACTACTAAAGAGGACCAAGAAACAACAGATTTCATATTCATACCAGATTGATTGCTACCAGGTCTTAAGACTTCCCACAGCAACTGATGGTTGTTTTGACCATTTTCTAAAGAACTGGTGTAAGATTCTTCACACAAATTTTCAAAACTTTCTTACTACCTTTTAATGAAATAGTGATGTTTTTAACAAAATTCTCTGCTGGACAGAAGTTGGCTTATAGACCTAAAAAACAATAATGAGGCTCTATTCACTGGTTTTCATAGCCAAAGTGAATAACTTCGACTACTGAAGATAACTGGATTTGTGACTCTTGGAAGAAAGGCAGTAAAAACTGCGTCCCTGCTCAGTAATGCACACATGAAAGAAAATCCACTGTTTGAGAAACATCTGAACCATTGCCATAACAAGTTACTGCACTTTCTGCTATAACCTACACTACAATAACATGTACCTGCTGGTTCCTGTGTTTACAGAACCGACTTTTCAGTATTTTTAAAAATGGTTAAAAAAAAATAAATTAATTTCAAGATTTGTTTCAGAAAATATTCACAACCAACCTTCCTTATTTCTGGCAATCTTGGCATTTCAAGAAGCCCACTGATTTTGGGCGAGGGGGAATAAATCAACATATTTTGCTGAGTAAAGAATTGTGTAAAGAAAAGTGGACCACTATACACCTTTGCCCAGGACAAATATAATAGAATCACACGGAATTTGCTAACAAGTAAAAATTAGCTACATTTTATTATTAATATTTACAAATGAGAACTCTATATTTACAATGTAAACACTTCAAATTAATATAACTTCCATTTGACTAGTGGAACACATTTTCCCTTCCTGAATTTAAAGGGAAACAGAATTAAGCTATGTCCAAAAGCTATTTCTTTCACTCTAGGAGGGAAATTACAAGCAGAAAGCTGCATGTAATAGAACACAATTTTAACACAAGAATGGTTAGCTAAATTAATGTGGCATAATTCTCATACCAATGCAGGTTATGAAGGTGCATGCATAATAAAAATCAAGCCTTCTCAAGGAAATGTGTTAACATAAATCTAGTTAGATTCAGGGAAAAAAACAAAACAAAACAAAACAAAAACCCCACAAAAACCCCACCTTTTTTCTGCACGTAGAAAGAGATAGGGTTACTTTTAGCTTGGAGAGGTTTTGATTTTCCTTATGTAACACTTGTACTAATCCTTTATTCAAACAGATCTTAATGACTATCTGCTATTGCAGATTCCTTTTTCAGAAAGGAAAAACATTCTGTTTACTTCACTGATGGGAATATCCCTCAGTGCTGGAATTGCTTCTTCCTGAAATTTCTTCCGTTGTTGCTTTTTTGCATAGTTATCTACAAGAAAGAATGAGAACATTTCACTTATTAAAAATTTTTTTTTCTTTCAAGAAACGTAATATAATGCAACACTGTATAAATTTAGCTGCTATAAGTGATGCTGAAAAGCCCATCTTGCTGAGGTATAATGAGATGGCCATCAGAAACACTCTATATCAACATGTCTCAGCAGAGCCCATGAAGAAATCAACCCCACCTTCCT